TGGGAGAACAATGTACAGTAGCATTTGCAAACATTGGTTCCATTAAAATGTCAGTTGCCTTGGTTATAGATCCTACTACATAAGAAAAAAGGTGTAAAATTCAAATACTTGAGGAATAAATTACTATAAAGTACATTAAATATTTTAAGTACATTAAGTTATAATAACATTATTATAATTAAATTGTCCTGAGTTAGCCATGTTCTCTTTCATTTAAATAATGTAAACATACATGAAAACATTAATTTCAACTTGATAGGAGCCACCAATTTTTTTGTGGGTTCCAACTTAATTGTAATAAATACTCCAGCCCATTAAAAATGTGATACAAGTATTTCTGGAAAATTAAAATTAAGGCCTTCACAAAGGGCTGATAGGTTCCTCACTTCAGGAACCAGTTAGATCTACAGCAAATTCTGCCTGTAGAACGCTCTACATCAGCCACTTAGGATTCATTTCAGAGCTTATTATATAATTGAAATAGGATTATTATATAATTGAAATACAATTATTTCATCCAATAATTTTAAAAATAAATATGTTTTCAGACACAATTCCCTTGTGGCTACTGCATTTCTTTCTTTATAGATTTAACATGTTTATTATTTTGGGAAGTCAAAAAGACATGTAGCTTGAAAGACATTAAGATGAACAAACTCAAAACTATTTTGATTTTCATTACCTGGGTTGACACTTTGGGAAAACATCTGCAAATCATTGGTTTGGGTATAGCAGATCATTAGTTCTCTAATCTGTAATTTGGATGCTACCAACAAACTATTCAGTCTTTTATTAAGCCCTTTATTCTCATTATTTCCAAGCCATAGGCATAATGCCTTTATTGATATAATTCATTTATTATAATTAAAACTGCTACATGAACCTACTCATCAATCCCTTCAGCCTAGTGTTGATCTTAAACCTTCTCTAGGTGTCTCTGTTAGGTAATACGTACCTTTACCAGGTCAGTGATTACTTAGGGAGTAATAGTCTTCTTACCCTAGAGTTGAGTTTCTTGAAGGCAAAGACCAGAATTTTACTAATCTGTGGTTCAATCTAAGTTCTCAGTGTCTGACATTGGGTGCCTCTCATTACTAAATAAATTATTGCAAGCTAATACTTGTTTTCCCTCTTTGGCAACCTTACACATTAGGATCATCTTTCTAAAATATTGTAATTTCTTTTCTGTAAGTTTATATACAGATACTTGAAACTCTACACTTCCAGTCTAAGTCACATCTGACCTGACCTAAAAAATGTCAGCTGACAGTTTAATTACTGTGATGGCATCCTAACTTAAAATCATTTGCTTCCAGTTTCTCCTTCAGGCTATCAGTTCTTTTCCATGTCACTGAATTGATATTTATTTTACACAGCTTACCTACTGAATATTACAAATAGAATTTGCTACTCTACAAGTGAAGTTAAACTTTGTCCAAGTTTATTAGGGTCATCTTTTTCCCTTCTCTCATAATTTTCAGTGAAAAATTTAGATAATGAATTGGGGGTCTTCGAGACCACCCCAAGGTTCGATGATATGCCAGGATTCACAGGACCTGGAAATGCTATTATAGTCACGGTTACAACTTATTATATTGAAAGGTACAAAAAAAAAAAAAAAGAAAGGTACAAATTAGAATTATCAAAAGGAAAACCAAAATAGTGAAGTCAAGGTGAAATCAGGCCCAAGTGTTCAGTTGTTTTCTTCCAGTGGAGCTGCACAAACAATAATTATTTCAGCAACAATGTTTGACAACATACTCAAAGTACTAACCTCCCCACCCCCAGAAGTTCACTTAAGTCTTGGTGCCCTGGGTTTTTATCTAGCTCAGTCACATAAACATTCAGTTCCCACATGACCTTCAAAGATGCTACATGGCCCAAGGTCTTTGAAATATAAAACAGATATTCCAAAGGCTCAGAGGCTATTTCCCAGGAGCCGGTCAAGGACAGGTCCTTTCTTTGGAAATACAGGATCTAACCCTTTACTGAGAGGGTAAGTCAGTTTCTTTATTACTAAAACACATCTTGCTCATTCCTGCATTTGGGTCTACTAATTTGAAAAGGTTTCCTAACCTATCTATGCAAATCCTTACTTTCCCTGAGGGCCCAGCACAGTGCATCCATTTCCAAGACTCCCCTTCATGCTCTCCCATATCTCTACAACAGAAACCTCTATGCCATGCACTGGACACATTCATGTATTGCCTTCAAATCCTACTCTACTGGACATGTCAAATCTCTGATACGGTTGTCAGGTAGCAAATACTCAGAAAATGAAGCATATTACTGATGAATTACTTAGGCTTATTATTCATTTTTTAATGTAGAATTTCATTTGCCCTATTTTTCCAATCTTCAAAGGGTAGTTTTAATATTCAGTTAAATATATAACTTCTTTCTCATTCTTCCTTTCAGAATTGCAGCATATTCATAGGTCTCCTTTTAAAGAAATCTATTCTTTCTATAATTCTGACCACCGTCTTTAGGGGCCTTTTCCTTTTTGGGGTATTTTCTCTTCCTCTGGGGTGCGGGTGCACGTTTATGTGTGTGTGTGTTACCAGGTTTTGGGGTGCTGGAGTCTCTTTCTAGAGATGGTTTCTAGGTTCTTCCTGACTTAAATAAAGAATTGATCAAGATAAGCAGAAAGGGTAGTGAGATTTTACATTTATTAAAGTAAGAAAAGAAACATGCTGTGCAAAGCAACTTTGGGCCACCTAAAGAAAACAGATACACTCTGCAAACCACAGCGTGGGCCACTAAAGAGTTGACAGTGGCCTCAACTTGATGGTAGCAGTCTTTTTGTCTCCCATTCCTCAGGCTGATGTCAGATCTAGGCCATGGTTTCAAACACCTGCTCAAGTTCTCATGAGAATTAAATATAGCACTCTGATTAGTTCCAAGTGCAGGGGTTTGGGAAATGTTCTGCACATGTGTCCTGGAAGTCAGTGATCAACAAGTCATGCTCACTTCCCCAGCCAGTTTGCCACACCCTAATCTCCTGTCTCATTTTTATTTAAAAGTGGTGATCAAATATCACATTATTTTTTACATAAGGGAAAGACATTTTCATTCCCAGTAAACTTCTAGGTCTGGCAAAATTTTACTAGTTTTTTTTCCCCCTCCCCATCCAATAACTTTATCTGAAAATACTTAATTACATGCATACTTTTCTTAAGTCACAATAAGTAACTTGAAATCTATCATTATTAGGATAAATGTTAGCTATTATTATTGACAAATTAGTATATTCCAGCTAGTATTCCAACTTCTTTATTAATCTTCATAACCCAAAGGCAAGTGTTTCTCTGCCTCATTTTTACTGGAGCAATCAAGGCAAAGGAAAATTAACATGTCAGCACTACAAATCAACTCCGATTCCAGAGCCTGTGACATCCACTGCCATGCTATATTGGCCTCATTTAAGAACCTAGTTAGAAATTTCCTTCTAAAAATCACCTAAGTGTCAAGTCAGGTTGACATATTTAAATGCTGTTTAAGATAAAAACTAGGACCGGGGATTTAGCTGTGGTTCCGCCGCTTGTCTCGCAAATGCAAGGTCCTGAGTTCAATTCCCGGTACCAAAAACTATTTAAAACTTTTAAAAAGATAAAAACTAACTTTTAAAATAAATAAAATTTTAAAATTTTAACTTTTAACTGTCATTGTAACTTCTTCCAGGTCATTTATTTTAAAATGTTATATAAGGTATAGGACAGCATTCACTGGCAAGTTATTATCCATTAATGAGTTTTCTTCTTTATAGGGGGCAATTTATTATAATCATGATTTTCCTGATAAAAGGCTAATTAAGTGAAACATATATATCTTGTGCACATCTTCAGCTCTCAAACACTTTAGCTCCTTATCTGTTCTCTCCCAATAAACACACACACTCACATTTTAAATACATGGGACAACGCACTATCCCTCAAGAGATGTCTGTAACACATTCATCCTTACTCCTGAATTCTTTTCAACATATTTCAAATGTCATAAAAATCTAATAACTTTTTCATTATTTGTAAAACCAATTAATACAGGGAAAAGAAAACTAAAAACAAAATGTTTACAGTGTAACTGAGCATTAACCCATTAAGAGAAAAAGCCATATGATGCAGCTCAAAGAACACTGGTATCTAATGAAATGGAGTTCTTTTTTTTCCAATACTGGGGGATTGAACCCAGGGTCTTGGTACTGAGTTACATTCTCAGCCCTTTTTGGGTTTTTGTTTGATGACTTGTTTTTGAGGCAAGATCTCACTAAGTCTATAAAGTGCTCTGACTTGCCAACCTGCCACCCCACGGTCCCAGAGTGCTAGGATCAAGCATGTGCCACCAAGCCTAGCCTAGAATAGGAATTTGATGCAACTTTTAATAATTTTTGATCCATGCTACTTCTGGCAAGTAGTAATCTATAATTTTTAAATGTATAAAAAAGATCAAAAATGAACCAAAAATGTACGAAAAATATTTAACACAAACAATGGATTTAAAAAAATTCTCAATACTAAAATTTATACTTTCCTCTTTCAAAGATGTCTTGAAGAAGTTTCCAACTTCTTTATCTGCCAAATGCTACCAGTAGGCAGCAGATGTTAACTGTTAACTAATGGTAGAAAATTCTGTTAGTGAAGTTCTATTTTGCCTTCGTTGTTAGGAGTTATGTAACCTATACAGACTTAGAAATCTTAAAGCAGAAAAAAAAATGACGGGGAAAATGATTAATATGAATTATATCCACGTAAGATCATTTGTGGTCGGGCCAGGGATTTAGCTCAGTGGTTCCACCACCTGCCTCGAAAGCGAAAGGTCCCGAGTTCGATCCCCAATACCAAAAAAAAAGATCATTTGTAGTTGCTTTAAATGAATCCAGGTCCCAAAAATTATATATCCTAGGATACTGAAATAATCTGATAAATAACTCATGACCTTTAGATAGTAAACCTTTGAGTCAAGGTGATTTGGCTGAGGTAACAGACGCAAGCTTCACAAAGATAAGAACTTGTTAATTTTGTTCCTTGACATACACAGATCTTCACATACAGTGCCTACCATGTATTAATGGCTTATAAATGTCCCTAACAAAATTCCAAAATCTATTTTTTACAATTGAAGACACAGAGCAAAGGAAGCAATGATCACTAAGTAGCTGTATCAATTCACAAAGACCAAGGCCCAAGTTACATAGTTAAGCTAAGAAGAGTAAAGATCACATCAAAGCATCTGACCACATTTCACACCAATAATCCCTGTAAACAAGACAGAAAGAACTTGATTTTCTGCAATTAAATGAATTTATAGCTGGTTGAATGAGAACAGTATGCTGTTTAATGGATCACTATCAAGCCTGAAGGAGACAGCTCCATCTTGCTAACTTTTTTCAGTCACTTACGTAAACAAAAAGCAATTTTATCAAGTTTGTCCATGACTTAAAAAATTTTTTAAAACCACAAACAGCCCAAATTAAAAAATAAAAAGGCAAAATAAGTTAAATGAAATTTAAAATGACATAATCTAAGAAATGAGGAAATAACTATAAAAGTTCAGAATAGGGCCGGGGATATAGGTCAGTGCTTTCACCGCCACCTGCTGCACAACCGCAAGGACCTGAGTTTGATCCCTGGTACCAAAAAAAAAAAAAAGTTCAGAATACCTCAGTGTGGTGGCACATACCTGCAATCCCAGTAATTAGGAGGCTGAGGAAGGATGGTGACTTTGAGCCCAGACTGGGCTACAGAGTTAGTTCAAGGCTATACTGGACTAGTGAGACCCTGTCTCATTAAACCAAAAAAAGAAGGAAAAAGAAAAGTGAGGCATGATAACACATGCTTGTAATCCCAGGACTTGGAAGCCTGAGGTGAATTACAAGTGCAAGGGCAGTTTGGGCTACATAGGAAAACCCTGTCTCAAAACAACCCACCTCTCCGCACCCCCCACACACACACACCAAAAAAAGGTCAAAATGAAGAGGTTCCTCTTCACAAATCTTTGGAATTTTACCTTAAACTCCAAGTCTAGAGGATAGAAACAAACTTAATTCGACTCATATTCGCTAAAACACTAAACTTATACATGCCTTTCACACAACCTAAATTCTTCAAATTTATATACTCAGGTTCCTTGTACAGTTATGGTAGCCAATAGGACAGACTAAAATGAAATGACAAAACCCAAATTTGAAACCTATTGTGGTCTTTAAATATTTAGAATAGCTGTTTTTTATTATTATGACTTAAAATTCACATCAAGGGCCTTAAATGCCATCCAATTTTGTCACAGCTCAGGAGGATCAGTGAATCCTAAGCATTTTGTGGGGTAGATTTATCCTAGCACACCTATCATGGTTTCTTTTGCTGTTAGCAACCATCCCTTTTTGTCCAATTATAGAACTACCAGACCACAATCAATGAAAGTAGGGCCCAGGAATATTTTTAAAGCATCTCACGTAATTATAATGAAAATGACCTACAGAGCAGCTTTGGCAGTTGCCTTAGCTCATCTATTTCTCAATCAGGCTTCTGATGCTCCATTTTGAAATTGCACTTTCCAGTGACAGAAAATACAATCTAAGTAAAAGAAGCTCGAAAAGTTAAAGCCTGTTACTTTCTACTGGTATGTCTTGTAAGACACTTAACCCTGCTAAGCCTCAATCTCCCTGTTGATCACTGTTGAAATCACTGTTTAAGCATTTAGCATCATGCCTAGCATATAATAAGCAGTAAATAAATAAAAACTACTACCCACTAATTTTGAAGGTGAAGGGCCAGAATATACTCTATTGCTAATTAAGCATTCCTTTATAAATTAACCACTAGACAAGTAGGTGGACATGGCACTAAAAGGGGAATATTTACTTTCTTCTCTACATGGCAAATCTTAACATTACTTGTCTGAGAAAAATATTGCCATGGTTATCCTGTATTAGCATTAAGTATCATCTGAAAGTTGTGTTTAGTCCTATTCACATCACTCATTAGCTTAAAAGTTCAGGGAGATTAAGGTATTAAATATGATGTTTAAGAGAAGCAAATATTAATACAATATCTTTAGTATCAATTGTCCTAGGAACCAAGATTTGTTCCAAGATTCGTAATATTTAAGTCAAAAGCCTCAGCGCTTGAGGCCATTTAACTCATCAAAGTTCTTCAACCTGAAAGCAAAGCTATTTTAAATTATTATTTTAGATACTTAACTTTTTAGTTAAGAAAAAACTTAAGTTCTTTTTGCAGTTAATTATTCTTTTCAAACAGCTTTAATGAAATTATCTAAGAAACATTTTTAATTAATTATAAACTGGTTTTGGATTGTGCCTGTGCCTGAATCACAAAGGACAGAGGTAATTACAGAGCATAATCAATTTGACTTTGCATAAATGATTATAGAATTAAAATTTCATTAAAGAATATAAAAAATTTGATACTACATATCAATCACATCATCACTCTTGGTTGTAGTTCCCTTCCATTTTCATGAAAATATAAATTTAATTTGAACTGGTTAAGTCTGTTATGTGCATCTACGGAAAAAAAAGGTGTATCAGTACACTATCATTCACTTCATCTATACATCATTAATAAAAAGTCACAAAAATTATCATTTGGGGAATTTTTCCATCAGGAAAATACATCTAACGTATTTTTTAAAATTTTTTAAATGAGGACACATCATATAAGGAATGCATTTCCAGATTATGTTTTCTTATTCATATGTAATCTGTGTTCATATATGAAGTGCTTTGGAAAAATGACTTGACTTCATTTATACTGTTAGAATGTATTTCTTAGCGAGCTAACGTTGTTTTGCCATTAAATTTTTGGAATTAGTTTAGTAATTTAAAATATCATTAGTGATTAAAATAGAATATTTGGTTCAGTCCCTAAGGTTGTTTACCTTACCCACTTTGCGTTATTTTCATTTTATTACTGAATCAATTCTAAAACCTTATACTACAAAGCCAGTATTTATAAATAACCAATACTGACTATTTAACCTTCTAATTACATCACTGAGTATCAACCAAGTTATCTCAAGGTAATCATGCTTCATGATCTATGAAAAAAAATCTTTCTCCTTACAAGTCTTGTTTTATTTATTAGACAAAATTATGTCTTTAAGGGTTTTAAATATTTTAAAATGTATATGAAACTCACCTCTAAACTATGAAAGGATCCATTCCAGAAGCCCTTTTCAGAATTTATACAAAGTGGGCAGCTTCTCTTCTTACTGACCTAGTACTTTAAGCCATGAATCAGCAAACTATATGCCTTTCAGGGCAAATCCAGCCTGCTGCCTGTTTTTGCAAATGAAGTTTTACTGGAAAAGAGCTGTGACTATTTCTGTATAGCCTGTGACTATTCATGTATTTGTATCTATCCCTGCTTTTGTTACAGCAGCATGGTTGAGTACCTGCTACAGTGACCACATGGCCTACAAAGTCTAAAATATCTACTGTCTAGATCTTTACCGAAATTTGCCAACCTCTATCTTAAATACTTTCATATTTAAAAACTATTTAAATGTTGTTAGAATTGTAAGGATGCAACTATTTTTCAATTTTCTTCATTATAAATTTCTATGGACTAACCTGGATTATCTAAATACTCCTTATAACCTTGTTCCTATGAATTCTTTAAAAGACCAAGTTTACCTCTCCAATCAGATTTATGGAAGCAACCAATCATGGAAAGCTACTGGCAACAGCAAGCACTGCTGCAATATAAATCTAAGGTTTATTTACCCACATATAAAAACAACAAAAACTCTTTGATATTAGAAATTTCCCAATTCTTAAAAGTAAAAAACTACAGTGGCTTTTAAGATTATATGGAATCAATTTTTCAGATAATATACTGCTAAAATTCAGTATTAACATGTTCATATTCAGTAACATGTTCATATTATTTTCATATCTAACTCATTGGTCATCCAAAGGCTTTGCAAATTATCTTCTCTACTAATCCTACCTCTCTTCCTCATCTTTAATATTCAAATTCTAGTTTTTAATCTAATTTATTAAAACTTTGTTGGTATTCTTTCTTTACTCAACCAAATACATTTTTACCCACATCTCTTAAGTGCTAGACAGTAACTTTTAAAGGCACTGGCACTACCAGTATCACAAGGGCCATAGAATAAATTCCAGTGATTTGTTTAGATATCATCAGAAGATCACCTTCTGATAACTTTAAAATCTTGGAAAGAAATACATGTATTTTGTACTATTTACTTGTATGCATGATTTATATAACTCAAAAATTCAACTACTTTTCCACAAATATTAAAATATCAGAAAGTACTGATTTTCTTAAGTTTTCAAAATCATTAGACTTTCATTACATTCAGTAGAAAAATAAAATGAAGCTACCACACTTATAATTTAGGCAAAAAAGTTTTTTCAATAAAAACATAGAAATATTTTGATTTATATATTACAATGAGTCAATATGAAGTCAAAATCCACAATTAACATGTTGATAAAAATTCTGAACACCATTCTCAGAACAGTTTCTGTACAAGATTTACAGATGTCTACTGCATGCCGTTTTTTCCTCAGTGTGCTACAG